CTGTTGTATGTGTGAAAAATGATCATGAATAATGGACATTACATAAATAACAAGAACGATAACAGTTCTTTGGTTATTTTGAAAAAGGTTGAAATTGACGAGGACCGTTCTCGAGACATCATTTGGAAGCGCAAGTTTTATTTGAAGTATAACCCAATCAGTCGAGGGTAATGCGAGTCTCCCTCGACGAGCGTTATTTTATCATTTTTATCGACTATATAGGACATACATAAAATTATGTTTTACCCAGACGATCTGGAAACTCTGATTTATTTCTAAGAACTTTATAGGTTCTCAAATTTTCTAGCAAACCAGAACTGACCCTTAAAACCCGTACCCCTATGGAGAATTTTCTTCATTTTTTCTAATTATAGGAAATATAGGACGACTGCGATGAGGGCTGTTGGTTACTTAGCTGATTCCATATGAAGTTCTTTTTGGTTTCAGTTATTCATGAAGTGAATTTCAATAAGTTCATTAAAACAATTCAGTGACGTGCCGGTCGCTGCATCTCCTATTTACCAACTGTTTTTTTCTCCATGCATTCTTTATTATTATAATGAGAGAAAAAAACAAGTGATAGTCAAATTCATTCAAAATCGTTATATCTTTTTCATATCATAGCGAAGCATCTTCTTGACGAAAAGTTCATCAAGAGATTGATAAAGATAATTCATGTTCAGTTCGATAAGTACAACATAAAATTTATGAACTTTTGCGTTGTCATTCGACTAATACGGCTTTCTTAAAATCAGAAGTACATACTCTAAAACAAATACTTCATTGAAACCGAGACGAAGAAAATATAGAAAAAGAGAGAGAGAGAGAGAAAGAGTGAATGAGAGAGTGAATGGAAGAAAATAATATTGTTCTTCTAAAGTATTTTCTTTTCCATTTCAACAAATTATACTTTGACGATGAGCTCAAGAAAGATTTCTATATTATTTTTCTTCACATTTCTTATACAAACAATGCCTAACGATATTCGGTCAATTCAAATGCTGATAGCCAATGATAAAATATTTCAATGTGCTCAATCAACTTGTTTACCATTTTATAACTTCGTAACATCAGACATTCGTCGTTGCCAAATAAATTGTTTAAATCAAGATGAATGTGTGGCAGCTACTTTTTATCAATCCAATTTACAATGTCAATTATTTAATACTTCAATCAAACAAAATACAAACATGTCATTTGAAATGAATGCTGTGACAATGATCACAGTTTTCAGAACACGATATCCCTATGGTTCGTATAAAATAGAATTCATACTATTGAACGTTTTTCATAAAATTACCTTATTTAAACAGAAAAGGATCTTTAGAGACACAAAGATAATAAGTTAATTTTAAATTTAATATAATTCATAGTTTTTGTGATTCATATAAAATTTATTATTTTCTAAATAGATCTGATAACGTTTTCAGCAACATCGACATCATCAACATCGTCATCATCAACATCATCGTCAACATCAACAGCAGCACCAAGCAGTTAGTAATATAATGAGATATAGCCCAGCATCCTCCAAAGAAGAACACTTCAAACTTTTGTTTAAATTGAAATCGTTACCTTTAAAACAAGGCACGAACTGACGACTCCTATATATACCCAAAATACGCCACAGTCGAATACTTGAGTACATCCATAGTGTAGGACCTTAGGATCTATAGATATACGCATTATATAGGACTTGAGCACAAACGAATACCATGAACAGGCGTCACATGAGGGCCAAAAGGTACTTTCATAGTGCCCCGATATCGGCCTATCAGTACACTCTGAAAAAAGTTGGTACTCTACCAAACCTCTCAAAAAGATTTTGTTGTTACAAAAACATATGATGCGTTATAGCGATTTCCTGGAAATCGTATGAGCTTTAAATCACAACCGATTGCCCGGAAATTGAGTCGGCTCATAGATCTATAGACTGATTTCCGTATAGTCCGTATAGGACGTATAGGCCGTGAGGGTGCCGCGGAGGGTGATACAGGGTGAAAGTGAAAGACTATGATAGCTATGCATCCTATACGGCCTATACGAACACGATATCTAAGGCCAAATATGTTGTCTGTATTCAAGGACGTACAAACCAGTTTCCCAGAAAACGCTATAACACATCAAATGTACAAAAAAGACTCGAAACATGATCACAGTTCTAAAAACATAATCAAAATTTCTACGAAACCATTAAAGGAACGGTCCGTGTATCGAAAGGAAGATCCTTCTCCTTCGAAACCTTTTTTCAGCTCAGCACACCAAAAGAAGGTTTCGCAGTAAGGTACGAAACTTTTAGAGTTTCATGCGGAAGTCGAATGGTTTCGGAACTATGGTCATGTTTCGAGTCTTTTTTCTGACGCCAAAACCTTTTTTTGGAGGTTTGGTAGAGTACTAACTTTTTTAAAGAGTATACACGCCCATAGTCGATTACATGAAGGACCACGGATACATATGATGCGTTATAGCGATTTCCTGGAAATTAACTACATTTTCTAACTGGAAACAGTTTCCGGAAATCGATTTTCACTCTACTTATTATATGGTCTAACAAAATTCTCAATTTCCATAATCCTTATTATTTGTAAAGAAGGTTCATTTGACTGAGGGTGCCTCGAAGGGTGATGTAGGGTTTTATTTGAACATTTGCAAAGGACATAATGGGCATAATGGGAGCTTCCTAAAGCTTTCATTATGCCCGTTATGCCCATTATGCCCATTATCCCATGTATGTGTCAAAAATGAGTTTAGCGGAAAACGCTAAAACACATGGAATCCATGGATATTGGGAAAATGGACCGCATTAGGACAATGGATAGCGCGAACATGCGCCACTTGAGGACCCGTAAATATCTTCGAAATGTGCCACATGAGAACTCATGGGATCCTCCGAACCCTACTGTCGCGGGAGCATGAGAAATATTCATAGATCATTGCGAAGTAATCACTCGTAGAATCGATTTTTCACATCCCTAAATTTGGTGACCGGACTGTATGTCGCCAGACCACATGTTGTAGAATAATGAGATAGCTATATTTTTCGATAATGTTCTGATGAATTATTCTATCAAATGCATGTATATCAGAAATTATAATTCATTTCGACACAAAAGTTAACTTCAAAAGGTGAAAGCTCATCAGGCTATTGATTAATATATATATGAATCAGAACGCCGTATTTCGAAAAAAAGGTCGTTCTTTTTATTAGCAATAATCCGCTTGCTTGATTAGAAGATAAACTGATTTATATATCTAACAATCTCATTCCTTCGAATATATAAAGAAACATTTGTTTAAGCTTTTCTCAGTTTAGTAAAATAAAAGAAATGTCAGGTATTAAAACAATCAAATCTCAAAAGAATGAACCCATGGTGATTCATCGCGGTTTCAATTATAGATTAGAAAAAAAACAACAACAGAAAAATGCGCCGGAAGCTATATCATTAGTATAAATATGAGATCATATGGGAGTATGTTTTAAATTGTTAATCAAGGGTAGCTATGTTTCGGACTAAGCATACCTATGTATGACTTTGTTCATGCAACATTTTGTCTATGCGAGATTTTGTCCGTGGCATTTTGTCTGGCGACATCCTGTCCTAGCGCCTTCAAATTGTCAGTGTGCTTCGTGAAATACGTCTAACGAAAGAAAATACCACCTTTGTATTAAAAATTCCCAGCTTTCGAACAGTTTCACATCCACCTTTGGTGTGATTTCATGTAAAAAAAGGGATAGGGAAAAAATCCAGAACTTCTAAAACATACTTTTATCAAGATCCTTAGAGTATCGACGTGACTTAGAATATGAAGAGGTAAAATGAGAGTGTGGGTTAACATATTTGTAAATGTTGTGCCGTCATCTTCACTAACCCACTACAAAGAGATTTTGCTTTCTTACAAAAACATATTTCTTTCGGATTTTATTGAAATCACTTTTTCTAGAATGGATTCAAACTACAAATATGCGTGTCGCACGATCTCTTCATACAGCATCAATGTTAGCAAATGGAACAGTTTTAGTTACTGGGGGATACGATGGTAGTAACCAACTCAGCAGTTCTGAATTATATAATCCATCAACAGGTAATTGGACAACAACAGGAAATATGAATGTTGCACGAGCTGATCACGGAGCAACAGTTTTATCAAATGGAAAGGTTTTGGTTACTGGAGGATACAGTGGTAATGTTTATCTCAACAGTGCTGAATTATATAATCCATCAACAGGTAGCTGGACAACAACAGGAAATATGAATAGTGCACGAAGAATCCATACAGCATCACTGTTAGCAAATGGAAAAGTCTTGGTCACTGGTGGATGGAATGGTGGTTCTGTGAATAGTGCTGAATTGTACGATCCATCAACAGGTAACTGGACAACAACAGGAAATATGAATAGTGCACGAGCTGATCACAGAGCAACAGTTTTATCAAATGGAACAGTTTTGGTTACTGGAGGAATCAGTGGTAATGTTTATCTCAATAGTACTGAATTATATAATCCATCAACAGGTAGCTGGACAACAACAGGAAATATGAATAGTGCACGAAGAATCCATACAGCAACAATTTTATCAAATGGAACAGTTTTAGTTACCGCGGGATCCAATGGCAACTTTTATTTGACCAGTGCTGAATTGTATGATCTATCAACAGGTAACTGGACAATAACAGGAAATATGAACGTTGGACGACAATCTCATACAGCAACAATTTTATCAAATGGAAAAGTCTTAGTCACTGGTGGATGGAATGGTGGTTCTGTGAATAGTGCTGAATTGTACGATCCATCAACAGGTAGCTGGACAACAACAGGAAATATGAGTAGTGCACGATCCGATCACAAAGCAGCAATTTTACCAAATGGAGATGTTTTAGTTGCTGGTGGATGGATAAGTACGAGTATTGCCAGTTGTGAAATATATGGATAATTCGACAAGAAAAAAAGAGCAATTTTGAAGATAGAAAATCGACGGAAAAAAACAATAAGAAGAAGATTTTTTCAATAAAGCTGAAATGGAACTGTTCGTTTTAACTTCAATTTTTTTCTTTGATTTAATTTAAATATAAAAATGCTGAAATATATTTTAATAAATATAATTTTCTTTTATTTTAAATCATTCGCTTCATTACAGAAAAAAGTAAGTAACATTTACGAATAAGAAAACAGATTGATAAGAGGAAGTTCAGTTTTCGTTTTTTCATATTCAAATATAAATAGAACATAAAAGATTGAAAATATTTCCAAAAAATGTTTTAACAATCTCTGTGAAGCTAGTATGACAATCAATTTCAGTCGTTCCATAATTTGCCAACCAGTATCTACCAAGCAACTGACAAGTAACGCAACGTGAGCGTTTCTAAACCCTCTACCGAAAGGAAAACTTCGATCTCATGAGTATCAATCATTTTTTTGTAATAGATAGTTTTATAGGCTATACTCTAGTGAAAAAATAGCTCTTATGCATGTACCGAATTATACGAAATTTTCCTGAGAGTGAGTAAGCAGCTACCATAGCTAGTTTCAAACAGGCTAAAGTTGTCATCAGATGGCTTAACAAATTCTAAATGATTCAATGAAGAATTAAACGAATTAATTGAAATCTATATGGATCAATACAATTCCTATAGTACCAAAGTCGATAATGGATCCTGAAACTGGGAATATACGTATGCGACGATCGCATCTGATGATCAATAATTATAATGAATATATCATATCAGCATGTCGTTCTAACATGGACATCAAGTTTATTTGGACAGGCAGCGATGCCAAAGCTCTTGTCTATTATATTACAGATTATGTGACAAAATCCAGTCTTCCTTTTCACGACACATTTTCTCTTATTCAAAAAAATGTTGCATCATTCGAAGACATATCAAATCAAGTGGATAATACAGACAATGTGATCGAAAGATCACGTAAATTCGTTTTACGTTGCTATAATACACTTGCGTCTCAACAAGAGTTATCTGGAGCGCAAGTTGCTTCCTATCTGATGAATTGGGACGATCATTATACGACACACAAATTCCAAGGACTTTATTTAATTCAAAATGAACGATACTTACAGACAGAATTGAATGGATTACGTGTCAAACGAAATTTAGAAACAGATTCATATGGTAACAGTATGACTGTTTCGTCATTTGTCTCTCTTATACTTGCATTTTTTTCATATGAGAATTTTTCTTCTTTTATCTTCAGATGCCAAGAGAGAGATAGAGAGGAGAGAAAGTGGGAGAGGGGAAGAAAGAGAAGAAACATTTGTTATATGAACAATTAATGAGAGTGAGAGGAAGGAAAAGAATAACATATGGTCATCATATAAGAAGACATAATGAGATATACTTAACATGGTATCCAGCTGTCCTAAAGCACTGTTGCTACATCGAATATATCACGTAGATAAGTGACACGGAATGAACGGAGCTATACCAATATAATTCTTCTCTTATTGATGGGAATGTGAAGGAATATGATAATCATGAAAATCAAATCAACAAAAGCTATCTTATCGTTTTTCACACATAGATGCAATGGATGAAGATGATGAACGCAATGATAATGTGCCTAACGATGAAAATGATAATGAAGAAAATTTTCAAATTCAATCTGTCGAAAATGAAAATGGAAAGAGTTTTGTGCTAGTTAACGCCCGAATTGATTATCAGTGTAGATCACATACTCTC